GTATAACGGTTTGCACGGCACTTGCAGAGCTTAAGCTAATGCAGAGATAGAAAAAGACTATACAACTCTATCTGATACATTACGGATGAAATCCCTAGTGTTGCCTCTCCGTTCGCCTGGAGAATATCAACGCGCAACTATAAGCATCATGTACTAATATTGTCACGGCGAGCATACTAGGGAGCTGGGACATGGCCTGCAGCAAGCAGCTATTACTCTATTGACGAGAATATCAAGACTAGAGAGGAAAGGAAGAGAGAGAGAGATAGATACAGTGGGAGGTTGCCCCTTTAAGGGGATGTCATGTGGGAAGGTCTATGCAGGCCGTCACAAATATGTAGAGAACTGAAACAGTAACCCTTTCACAGACCTAGCTACGTTATTACGATGAATTTTATCCCCTCGATCAGCATGAGGGTCAACATTAATGATGGTTCCTAAAAACTAGCGAAATCAAAAGCCACGGGTTTCCAAGCATTAAATTACCTGTGTATTCCCAAAAATGGTGGTGTGTTCAAGCAATTATCCATTCCAGATTGCTGGGCAACAGAGACATGGTCCTGACTTTTGCCTCGTATTCAACTTTGCAGCTGCCCAGGCACCACCACCGGATCACCAGGTCAACACATCTTCTACCCCTCTCACCTGGCTAACTTCCAGTGGTCACAAATTTGCTCCGTCTCATGATTTCATCTCGTTTCGGCACCTCTCCGATCCTCAATTTCCCACTTTCACGTATACATACACAACTCAGAATCTACTCTTGCTGTTGCTCTGTCCCTCGAGTCAAGCCAGATCCTAGTCGAGATTTGTGGCTCGCAACTTCGCTACCAAGATACTTTGCAGCTGGACCACTGGCGCTTCTTTCGACTGCGACCCAGTCATTCGTCTGCAGAACGTTCACCCAATCTTGCTTCTGTCAAGCTGCCGTAGCCATGTCTGGCTAATCACCGTAGGTGCAACGTTCCCTCTTGTCTACTTTAGACTCATTTAAATCATTTGCTAACTTCTACTCGTAGCTCCGCTGTATTTGCATTTCTGTGCATGGCGCCGACAACCCCCCCCCCCCCTCCCCCGCGCGGCCTAGACGCCAGTTCTTCTCGGCAAGGGCTCATTCACGCGACAGCAAGCCGTCCAAATTGCAATCGATCAGACTAGGCACTTAAAGATTATCCTCGACGATCCTTTGGACCTCCCAAGGCCTCTACGCCTACGTGGGCTAGACTCCTAGCCCTCATTCGATACTGCAATCAGACATTCCCCTGTCTTTATAGCGCCTGTCATCCGCACGGCGTATTATAGCGACAAAGTCATTACCGAGGTAGCCTTCTCAGTCTATAACACACACGAACGGGTACACGGTGCCCAGATCAGCCGGAAGGGTCGATTTATAGAAAAATGCTTGCCTCCGCAAGACCGCGGGGAAAATATCTAAAAGTCCACGAAAACGTTCCACTACATCGTAGTTAACACGGCCAACCATCATCCGGAGACCTATAGCAACCTAAGCCATACTACTACCCCGTACTACAACGCCTTCTCAAAGTCCCTTTTCGTCAATCGGTCCGATATCCCGACTATTCTTCAAGAAATATTGGAGATTGCCTCCAAGTAGGCACTGTCTCGTCAGCAGATCGCTGCTAGGTCTACACGACAAGTTATCCTAATCGGACGAGGAGATTACCTCCACCTAGCTCTAAAGGCAACAAAGTGGTACCAGCAAGATAATTGCCTAGCTCATTAGGATCTAAACGAGCATTCCATTCTCTCTGGACGATTTGGCGACTCCACACCGACACTTGACGAGCAGCTTAGAACTCTTGGCCTTCCTCACGTCGTCAACGACATCAGCATTACCTAGAATGCTGGAAACGAGTCTGCGCTCGCCATCCACTTACTCATCTCACTATATTCCATCTCCCCCTCGCAACTAGGCATGCTTCGCCTCGGTCGTAATTTCTCGACTATCGCAATGACACCAGGTGCGCTGTACACAATGGTGTGGATCAACAACACACTACGTGCTACGCCGCTTAGTGAAGCACATACAGTGCTAACTGTACCCATACGACCTGTAATTGACTCGTATACAAAAGTCTATCCCGGCGCTGCATCCAAGACCGCGACGTCTGCTGCGGCCCACGGCCATGTACGAGACCATTGGTCTCCGTATCGCGGAAAACTGAACTGGAGAGAAGCAAACTGCGACATGGACCAATCCAACGTCCACGTCACTCGACCTGAGACTTTGTGAGGTTCGACGTCATTGCGTGATAACAATGGGAGTCAAGCAGGGGATACATTGTACGGTAGGGAATCAGTTTGTAAAGGCGGAACCACTGTTATGAATATACCCGAAATGATGACGTACTTTGTATTGCGGTCCGTGAAATCACTAGATACTCAACGTGTTCTTTCACCGCACACCAGCCACGTTGGGCTATCAATGTGAATTGCTAAGCCACCAATTCATGTCTCTACCTCGAAATCGCGAGATTCCCGTGCGAGGATCCGTCCTCATATAGGGCTCTCGTGACTCATCGGATGAAGGTGTGTACGAAGGTTTCGCTAGTGGCGTTGAGGTTGAGGGAGAAGACGAACAGAGTTCAGCCATGAGCCACCGAAAAAAAACCATTGTTTATTTGCTCAAGGTTGTGGCAGAGCCTGAATTGGTTCCACAACCACAACATCGATATCATCTCAATCTGCTGGGGTGAGAACACGAAGTCTCTACCTCGAAAACAGACCTAGCTGCGGATTCCCTGTAGCCCATGGCCTCAATCCAAAGTCTCTGTGCAGGCCGTTCGTGGATATACTCGAGCCAGGGGAAGGAGTGTAGCATGGCACGCGCCTCTTCCCAGGTTCGAATGTCCAAAGTGCCCGTTTGCTGCACAACCCGAGGTACCAGCCAAGGGTCTTCTCTTTCGGTAAACACCGTTGCACGTGCCATGATTGTTGTCCAGAGCAGAACTTCATGTCCTTCATCGACCACTGGTTTTTGTATGCACTGATGCAAAAGACGCAGCAGGGGTCCGTACTGCGGCCGCCTTCGATCAAGGTCGTACATGAAAGTAGTCATGAAGGCAAGTAGTCCCAACTGTAGCGTGAGACTTGGCTTAGCTCCGCCTATCCAGTTGGTGAGCGGTCGAACGTTGACAAGCCGGTACCCAATCAGAATAAGGGCGTCGTGAAATGAGTTGCCGTTCAACTTTCTCTGTGTACCTGGAACACGATTGAGATAAACAGCAAGGCTGTAGACATCCAACAAGACTTCTTCAAGCTCGCTCGGGATTTGCCAACGTAGGCTGAGATCTCGAAGTCGATCTGTTAGCTTGCAAAACGCCTCCGTCCGGAGCCATGCTAGAGTCTCGTGGCCGACTATGTCCTCCTTGTTAAAACGGGTTCGCCTCCCGCGGTGGAGTGCAAATTCAAGGTCACCTCTTCTCCGCAGTCAGCCAATAACGTTGGTTTGATGAAGTATTGATTCGATAGCAATTAGACTCACCTGAAAACCTTCTGCGCTATAGCAGGCCGGCATCGTTTCAAGTTCGATATCCCACCAAGCATGTCGACCATACTGCATAGGCCTTGGAAATGGACAGAGCCGATCTCAACCTCGCTCTTCATGCGTTCATAATGAGTCAGCAAGACAACGGCAGCCATGGCCGTGTCGGAAAAGGCTTGGTCAGTACTGAGTTTCTGGTTGAGTGCGCGGAGAGTCTGGGCCACATGCACCATGGGCCCCGATGGGCTTGCCAGGGGCGGGTTTGCGAGAGCACTTATGGCCATGGTGCAATGGAAGTCTGGATTCCGTCAGTTTAGCTTCGCTTATCCAACGATCCAACGCAGAGTGACTGACAGGCTTCATCTTCAAACATGAAACGGACCCAGGGCGTTGTCACGCCCACCATATCGATCATATCAAGAAGCTCTGGCGGGAAAAGTGGTGCCGTTATGAACGAGAAGGCTAGTCATGATGTCAGTCATGACCATCAATTGTCGAGGAAGCTAAGAGTATGACGGCACCTCTGTGGATCGTCTCCCTGGACGTCTGGGTAGGGAATGGGAAGACGGAGAACTCGATCGCAGGGCACGGAGCATGAGGGACCCCGAGGTGTCGCCATCCTCGCTTTCGCCTCGGGCCAACATTCTTCCCTGCGGCAGCCTGGCTGCGAATCACTTTTCTCGCGCGCTTGTCGATATTGGTATGGTCAATGAAGCTCAGAGGCATGTTCCAACGGCACCCGGGGTGTTCACTGTCCAGTCAAGCTGTTAGAAGACAAGCGGGAAGCGCACAGCGACAGGAAGGAATTTGGGGTAACACCACAGAGCGACCACGCAGGTTGATGGGACGCTTTGACAGTGAAATGGGATGCTCTTGATCAACAGATAGTGGCCTGCTCGACGATGTATTCTGTCTGTCTGTGACCCCCCCTTGCCCCCTCTGCCCCTGTCCTCTCAAGCTCCACGAGGACAAGGGCTGAGATGGGTGGCCAATCAGAAGCCTTTTGCCTAAAGCGGTAAAGCGCGTGGATATCCTCCGGAGTCCGTTAAATCCGCCGCCTTGTGGAGCCGGTGGACGAATCAGAAAGCTCTTGCTCGGATTGGATCGCATCCCGAGGTCCTCCGCCAACTTTGGAGGCATGCCGTAACCGATGAACTGCACTATATGCTGCCTGAGGAGCGGGACACCTTACTTCCCAGCTCGGGTGGCCTGTCAGTGAAACGACGATACGAATCAGTGGCTGCCGCGATCAGGGATTGGGTCTATCTATGCCTCTTGTGGTCTTGCAATCATCAGCAATCTGCCATGGACCCATGGTGGACGCCAGAGGTTCTCGGGCATTGGACCCGGCAGCTTTTCCGGGTCGCGGCGTGATGGGTATATAGTCATAGTCCTCTCCGGAAAGTTGGACGCTCTCATCTCACCAGCTTCTCCTCCTCTCTCCCCTCTTTCTCCCAGCACTACTTCTACATATCCAGCACGCAGCAGCTCCAGTATGCCTGGCCCCCCTCCACTAGCTCCTGCCCTGCAGAGGAGCATCGATGCCACCAAGGTAGACTACGTCAACCTGGGCCAGTCCGGCCTTCGAGTGTCTGTCCCGATCCTCGGCGGCATGTCACTTGGCTCCAAGGAGTGGGCTCCCTGGGTCTTGGACGAAGACGATTCGCTCCAGATCCTGAAAGCCGCCTACGATCGCGGTATCAACACCTGGGATACCGCTAATGCCTATTCGAACGGCTTGAGCGAGAAAGTCATCGGGAAAGCTCTCAAGCACTTTGGCATCCAGCGAGAGAAGGTCGTCATCATGACAAAATGCTTCATGCCCGTGGGGGAGGAGTCTAACCTCCATGTTCCTCCTCCCGTCGCAAGCCAAAGTGTTGATTACGTCAATCAAGCTGGTGAGTTGTCTCCTCCGGTATGACACACTTATGGCGCGAAGGTCTGACATGGAAATCAGGTCTGTCTCGAGGTGCGATCCTCAAAGCCGTGGATGCCTCCTTGAAGCGGCTTGACACCACCTACATCGACGTGCTGCAACTCCATCGCTTTGACGATTCCACACCCATCGAGGAGACCATGGAGGCATTGCACGACCTCGTACGCTCCGGCAAGGTGCATTACATCGGTGCGAGCTCGATGTGGGCGACGCAATTCGCCCAGATGCAGTTCGTGGCAGAGAAGAATGGCTGGACCAAGTTCATCAGTATGCAGAACTACTACAATCTCTGCTACCGCGAGGAAGAGCGCGAGATGATTCGTTTCTGCAAGGCGACCGGAGTTGGACTCATCCCCTGGTCTCCGCTATACTCCGGGCGACTTGCTCGACCGTTGAGCTCTAGCCGCACCTTGCGCTCGGACATGCCAAATCCACTCGATCCGACTATGACGGACGTGGACAGAGCGATTATTGCCAGGGTTGAAGAACTGGCGACCAAGAAGGGGTGGAAGATGAGTCACGTTGGTCTTATCTGGCTGCGAATGAAGGGAGCGATTCCTATCACTGGATTCAATTCGGTCGAGAGGGTGGAAGAAGCTTGTGAGCTGCGAGGGAAGACCTTAACCGATGATGAAATTCAGTATCTGGAGGAACTGTACGTGCCAAAGACAGCCAGGGGCAATTTCTGATTCAGCTTCAGGAACACAACACCCTCAAATGAGCCGATAGGTCTGTCATATCTACTCATGGCCAGATGGCATGTTCTGATACATCCCAAACGATGGGTGTTGCCTTCGTACTGTAGGCTTCAAGCCATTTTGCACATCCACCTTAGATCTTAGATGGGGCAGGAATCAGATCTGTGCACCCACCATGTATTGACAGATAGGAACAAAGGGTCTCATTGGCCTTCCGAAGTCCAGAAGGAATCGAAATCCACAGTAGCACCTATTCCTAACCCACACGCTGGGACGCTAAAATGAGATCGTATCCTCAACCCATCATCGTCACATTTTCCCGTGAACTCGCACCACACAGCTTGCTCATACATACCCGGAGTCATTCGAAAATATGACGGCAGCAGCATCCGGATACGACATGGCGGCCTACCTACTGGACCGAGCCAACATCCACGACACAATAGCCCGAATGGTGAGAGAGTCCACCACAGCCCTGAAGCCCCAAGCACACCAACTGACCCACGTACCATCGCCACAGTGCCTTGCCTTCGACACCCGACAGCCCGACATGCTCGCCACCCACGTGTACACACCCATGGTCCACATCGACTACTCGCAGCTCCTCGACTCGACTGCCATGGACATCACGCGGGAGCAGTGGGCAGCGAGCCTGGAGCCCGTCTTCGACCAGTGGGATTCGAGGCAGCACGTCGTGCAAGACATGCTGATCGAGCTGCCGCAGCCCGTCGGTGCCAAGGGCGGTGGAAGGCTGGAGAAGTGCAGCGTGGTCGGTATCGCGCTGGCTGTCGCGTACAGGAACGACGCTGAGGCAAGCCTAGGATTGTGCTGCAACGGAACGGGGTGAGTTCCTTACCTGAAGCATGGTCATGGCGTGCTTTCGGTTTGAATGCTGCTGACTTGGCCTATAGGGTCGTTACGAGTTCGAGATGGTGCGGCTGAAGGAGCTCGAGGGGAGGGGGGAGAACCCGTGGAGGATCAGCAGCCAGAAGGTCGTCATGACGTATCAGGAGATAGGGAACGACTCATAAGGGCGAAGCTTGTCGAGCTGGATGGGAGCTGATATAGCCCATCCATTCGCCGGGAATCAGAGAGCTGCTTACCGGTAAAGTAGGCCCTCTTTCACCGGTTGAGAGTGCATTCAATACCCGAAAACCCAACAGTGGTACTAAGCGGGCGGCTTGTGATATCTGAAGTTGAGGGGGATCACGAAAGCAGCTCTAGGGCTCGACTGGCTATCACGAAGACGTTCAAAGTTGTAGCCCCAGGAGATTTTAGGCTCCAAGGGGTGCTGTTGGGGGGGAAGGGGGGGGGGGGGGGGGCGGTTGCTGGAGCTTTAGGGGTTGTCTGAATAGTTTCTTGGACTTTACGGTGGGGTCAGTTATCTTATACTTGTAGTAAAGATCCAGAGATCAAATCAAATCGCAGTAACTGTTCAGAATGCGTCGAATGCAACGGCGGCAAGTAATGATTGCGGGTGTATCTAAAGCAATGGCGTGGTTGTGTAATTGTTATCCAGGTATTAATGAATGTGTCATGCTCACCCAGCAGCAAAGACAATGTGCCGCAGCTTCGCTGAGTCTCATGAAATCGAAGTTGGTCGCATCCTCGTCTCCTTCGTTGTCCGAGTCCTCAGTCCGCCGAGGCAAACCCTAAACTGAGCCTTTGCTGCCAAGATGAGTGCTCATGACGCGTGCAATGTATTGCATGGACTCCGCATACATTGCGAACAACTTGAAAGTCAACTCTACAGGCTGCCAATTAGGCACAATGATCCCCAAATCGTGCTAGGCTACCTGTGCAACCCTCTCTAAACAGGCCGCACAGCCATGGAAGAGACTGAGTACATCATCCTCTTTGGTGTCGCGGATCACCGAAAAACGTAGGTCGTTTGGACTCAGGCCACGAAGTTGGATTTCCTTATCCAGCGTCGGTAGCTTTGTTACCAAAAGGTTCTGCTGTCTAGAAAATTGCGCGGAAGTGGTTCTGAATCCTCATGTATTGGGCGTGCAACGGGAAGTCTTAGTCATACCGCACTCTTCAACATAGTTCCTGGGCATGACAGACTCGTTCCTTATCTCGACCATGAGTCCGATGGGTTTCTTCGCCCTGATCGCTTTCATCTTTAGCTTGATCAAGGGGTCGTCAAGTATGTCCTTTATGCCATTCATTGCCCACTGAAGGATACGGGCTTGGGCTGCGCCCCAGTTGCTCCGTGCGTTGTTGTGGCGTAATATCCGTTTCTCAGGGGTCTTCAACATCCTGAGTGATTCTGTCGTTTTCGCAGTCCGCTGGGCAAGAGCCATCTGCGATCTTCGTTTGAGAATGCGGTGGGCATCCAAGAAGATCTGCATGGCAAAGACGGCACCAAGCTTCAAGTGTTTAGAGCTGACTAGGTTTTCGACTTCGTGTGTGATGGCATTCATGACAGGAAAGGAGGAAGAGTGTCTGGGCCAAGAACGAGCTCTACAACGGAGTCAGTTCCTGGGATCCTGTCTTTGGCCCGGAACGCGGCGAGGAGCTTGGAAGTTTAGCATAGTGTAGCATAGTCGAATGCTCCCGAGACGCGGTTCTCTCTAAGAGCGAGTCGACCTGAGCTCCGTCGTCTGAGAAAGCGTAACGGAGGATGTCTCTCATCTCGCTCTGCTCGATTTGAGGTGTGTCCATCGTGACTATGATTGATCAGTTGAATTATGTTATAGAGAATTTTGTTAGGGTATTAACTTACTTCGTTGAGCAGGTATTGAGCGAACCGGTTAGCCATCTCCTGATACCTGCCGGTGATTGCTTCTTCGTCGGCGGTATCCATCCAAAGGGCAGTCAAGGAAACGTCATTCCGGTGAACTCCTTGATGATGTGGGCGTAAGGGTAGGTATATCCTTCTGAGAACAACTGCGCCAAAATGCTGTCACAAACCCCAAGGTTCTTGGCATGGGCCGGCAAATTCAACTCGGATGAGGCAGTACTGAGGTACCGTAGGAGCGTATGTCGTAATCGCTCCTTATGGTATCGAACGACGTCGATGCTGGGATTTACTAACATGGCGAAGGCTACCGGATCTAACTTGCCCTCGGCATACTGACTGATAAGCGGATGACATGTTCGTAGGATCAGCTGTGTGCTATGTATGACGGACTTGAAGGTTTGTAAAGCTTCGTCGAATGAAGGCGGGAAGTCGGCCTCCACCGTATTCGAGGGAACGAGAGTTGCATGGTCTGGCTGTGCCAGCAAGGAACTTTATCGCACTGCGCTGTGTGCAGTCTCACCATCTCATCAGGACCCTCTTATCCAGTTCCAGCCTCGGACTCTCTTCGGAGTCAGACAGGAATCAGACGCGGAACCAGTATCGTCGTCACTTCCGCTGTCACTTCCGCTGGATATTTCGATGGTAAACTGGACAGTGCCGAGGCGCGACATTATTCCATAGAAGACCGCGTCTTAATCATTATTGCAATCCTCGTCGGTATCGCTTGAACTATCCAGCCGTAGGGGCTGGCGGAATCTGACATTGGAAACCGGAGCTTCATGGCTGGAGTCATCGTTTTATCTGATGAACTTCAATGTCAGCAAACCGATCCAAGGAGGTATCCCAGCACATGTCGACGGCGGAATGTTTCGACGCTATGCCAAGAGACTCAAGACTGGTCGCGAGCCGCCCAAGAGTTCCGCATAGAAGTCCGAAACCGATATTCTGACAATATACTCCGACAAGGTACTTTGATAACGATATTGTATCTTTTGTAAAGCAAACATGAGTTAAAACTCGTCTAAGATAGTGCTTGTCGAGATTTTGTCATGCAACAGACTGTGCCGAGCGGAGGTGGAACAACTGAGTTGAACGAGATGCCTAGCAAACAAGTTTCAAGTGAACCTTGATGTCATTCATTGTTTCTCAATGTTGAAGAAAGTAGGGTGGTTGGTGCCAGAGAAGAAAAAATAGCAACGGGTGTGCTTGACAGGTGAAAAGCTACCAGTGCTGTCCTAGGGGCAAAACTGGCATTGGCTCAAGGACTTTGTGAGCTATTTTTGATTCGTAAAATCGTCAACACGATGGAAATAGTGTTTGAGGCATCGTATATAACAGTAAGATTGTTTGAAAGTCGTTTTGTGTATATTTCTCTCTGTCAGACAATATCAGTTGAAGAGACCGAACTGTCTTTTCCCCAAGGAGTCAACTGAACTTCAGGCAGCACGATGCCTTGGACAGAAAACCTTAGAACAGCACTCATCATGCCCCGATGTCTCGCACCCTGTATATAGTGGCCACGGGGGAAGCCCGTTGGTTACAACATATAAGGTCATACTTGGGGTTAGATAAGAATACTACTACTCCTTTATTGGTCAAGACTTTAGGGTACCATTACATGCCGCAGCTCCTTTACTAGTAAGCAAGACGCCCTTGCTCGGTAGTATATTAAATATACAATCACCGAATCGTGAGCTATCCCGCATAGTTGGGTGAAAGCATAGATGAAAGAATTGCCCATTTTAGGTTCAATCTCAAATTGAGCTGGTGAGCTCCTTCTTATATGGGGAGCTGCGCAGGGACAATCCCCTGTGCCTAGTCACGGCTATACCTTGCGACATGAGCCCAAGGAGCAATCACTTTAGAGCAATAAGCACTACTTAGAGCAGCCAACATTTGACGCATTTTAAACAGCCATTACAATGTAACTTTGATTTTCCTGTTTTGTAAGGCGTACAAGATACCGCCGCTGTCATCCGGCCACACTTTCGTAAATCATTCTACTTAAACTAGAGCGATATTTGCAAAGGACTGCGGTATGTAAGAGTAGGCTGCAATAGAAGACTTTGAGAAAATCGCACAAGGTCTAGGATGTTCTGGTTCACTTCTGTCGAGAGAACGTGGCGATCTCCTGAACGACCGTATTCGGTGCGACTCTCGGTGTAGCTATCGTCGTCTTGGCGTCTGCTGCCGTACGACTGCTTCCCCTCGCTCTTGAACCCTCCAAGAAGGGAGCCACCAGTGGCTCCGAGGGCCCTCCAGGGCCGTCAGATTGCTCATCTCGTCCCACCAGATCCAGGAAGCTCAAACTGACCACCTACCTAATTAACCCTTAACGAAGTCAGAGAGGCCGCCGGTGACGCCCTTGAAGATAGCGCCGGCTTTTTCGGTACAGCAGGGCTTTCACGCAGTGGTATGCAGTGAACATCGTGGATTTGTGCAAGGTAACGTTACAACGTAGGACTAGGTACAGCTAATGTATGCAGCATTCCCACTGTGGCCTAACCTCTTCTCTCATGCGCCAAATCTGAAGGTGAGGCCTCTGATGCTTTCCCCAGAGTCCAGCATCTCGATATCGCACCGCACAACTTCATACTGCTCAGTTTTGAAGAAGCGAAGCTTGCCCTCGGATACTTCGTCTGTGACGAGAAAGGCTTGCCCGTCAACGACCCACGCTTCTGTATTGTTTGATGGGGCATCCGTCATCGCTCTGTACTTGCCTCCCCAGGCCACAAGAACACCGCCTCTCGTGCGAGCTGGCTGGAGTTGGGGACAAGTGCCTTCAGGAAGCTCGAGGACCCACGAGAGAATCGACGGCTCTGCCAACATCCCATAAAAAAAGTGCCACACCGGGTACTGGTTTTGCGCTGGTTTGATACTTGCGTCTGCTTCCGTGGCTCGATATTGCGGCAGTGTCGCGTCGATGCCGAGGAATGGCGCGAGGCTGATTGGCGATAACTCCTTTTCCGCTTGAGTGATCCGGATGAAGATCGGCCGGTAGGTGGGTCGATTGTTCGTGAGCCATCTCACAATCGCGATCTTCGCTGTGCCGTCTATCTTGCAGAACGAAGCTTTGCTGCCCTCATCCTCGTCATGCGTATGCTCCAGTATGTCCTCGTCTTTCTGCAGCTTGCTTCCGCTAAGAAGCTCAGTGCTTTTGGCAGCCCAGCTGCGACCTTCACTTCCTCGGGGCTTGACAGCGGTCCATCCAGTTTGATCAAGTAGGTCGCACCTGGACGGCTGTGGCTAGATGGCGGTGGTATCGCTCTCTTCTGCTGTGTTCCAGTAGTGAGAAGATGCTCGTAGGCTTCACGGTCGTACCCATCCTGCTGCAGCGTTTCACGCGCTATGTCTTAAAGCTCGTCAGATACTCGGACGCAGGACTGGTCTGATCGGTGGGCTTCGGTCTTTTCTACCGCTTGCTCATGGCTGTATCTAAAGAGTTACTTCCACCGCTCGACCGTGGGTAGGTCTGCCTGGTTGTCAAGGTTGTCGACTTGTGTCGCTTGGGCAGCTAGGTGCTCTAGCTCGGCTAGGACGTCCATGGCATTTTACATCCGGGGATATGATGCAAATAGCTGAGATTTGACGCGGCGGCGGGAGGGAGGTGAATATGTGACAGCGGTGATGTAGGCAAGTGTTGATGTGTTGGCTGGGAGAGTTGAGGAACTGCAGTCATATCCGTGCATGCTCTCGCGACGACTCAGTCACACCGAAACCTTACCTGTGAGTCAGATTTGTGAAGTACGCCATAATACTCTCAGTTGAACATGCCACGGATAGTACACAATGGAACGATGTCGCTTGATTATCTACCTTACCTACCATCGTGACGATCAGAGCCACGTGGTCCACGCAGAACTCCGGCGAGCATATTCCCATGATCAGTACCTCTTGGGTGCATGGATGTACTTGGCTGGGTGGAAGATGTCGTTGGAGGACCGGGCATTCATACCACCGGGCAGGGCAGTGAGGATTGTGGCGGTGCGACATATGGCGCCTAATAAGCTCGGACCACAGATCGGGCCCTGGATTGAACCGATCATCTGGGCTACGTTATCGCAAGCGCGAACCCTTATCATCCCTGTCCACCCGACGTCTTGTCAACCTGGAGGTGACGACAATGCACCTGCTCATACACATACTCGCACTCGACCATTACGCAGAAGGTGGTTTGGCATATTTTTGTCTTCCTCGCTGCCTTGGGCTTCCTGGCCGATGGCTTGCTGTCTATAGGTGCCATTTCTTCATTGCCGTCGAGATGCCTCCTGCTCCTAGCCAGAAGGGAACGGGCAAGAAGGCCTCCGGAGTCGTCCGCCAGCGCAGCCGCAATACGACGCCCATGTCTGGTCCACCGCCCAGCGCCAGTATTATACCACCTGTCGAGCTGCTCGAGACTGAATTCCTTGATCTTAAATTAGAGTCCATACGCAATATATCCTACGATGATCTAGTCGACTCGAGCGCATCGAATGCCGTTATTCCCGACTCCAAATGCCTCGACGGCTTGATCAATCGCCTTGGCAAATTGAATGAGATTATTGAGCGACGTGGGACCTGGTGTGATAAAGGGATGCGCCTCGTTGCCGACCATAGAAAGAAACTATATGACGATATGGCCACTGGGAGTCGAAGAGATGAAAACCGTAGTGAGTGTCCCGAGGGCGAGAAGAGAGCCAACAAGAAGAAGAGGAAGGCGAACGATAACCTTGCACCTGGACACGTAAACATAGGTGAGCAGTGTCTCTTTCCTACAGATCCCCTTGCTGTCGCATTGGCGTCGCGCCTGCTGCCGACATGCCTCTGCGAATGGAAGACGCGTTGCCGAGAAACACATGGTCAACCAAGTTCACGGATTCCCTGGGTCCCAAATACCTAACTGCCTACCTTTCACCTAGCAACTTGCGCACCTAAACATGTCTCTTACCCACGCCTGTTTGACGAGATACATCTTTGCACTGCTGCATTTTCAATTTCCTTCATCCTCACCCCATCATTCACTACGAGTTGGCAAACACAACAGCTTGACTGATTGCCCGCCCACGCAGAACGCTCCTCCCCTTTGAGGGAAACGACGAATAAACCTCGCAAGCTATCGCGCGACAACGGGTCGACTAGTTCCTCGCTCTCCCCGGTCGCACCCGCAACACCTAGCGCAATGGAGGTGGACGACAAGGCGAAGGTCGACAAGAAGACCGACGAAGATTCGAGCTCCGAGGACGAAGGCGCGCCTCCCCGTCGCGAAGCGCCACAGTTCCAAACCTTTGGCGCAGATCCATCCACCTTCCCCGATCCCACGGTTTACGAGATACGTGATGCGAAACCCGGAATATCGATTGACGAACTGAAGGAGCTGTACTCTGTTGCCGTCTTTCCGAAGACAGATCTGGCAGATCAGATTGCTGGTGATCCGCCGGACAAGGACTTTAGTAGTGCGAAGCCCTCGAACCAGATCGGATTCACCACATTCTCGACGTATGTCGAGCCATACTTCCGGCCGTTCTCTGAAGAGGATCTCACGTTCCTACGCGAGCGCGGTGATCGGGCTACTCCATTCGTCATGCCCAAACGCGGCAAAAGGCATTATTCAGAGATCTGGGCAGAGGAGGACAATGCGATGGCGATAGACTCGGCATCCCAGGGAAGGGACAAACTGGCACCTAACCAAGCTCGTGGCACCATCGACAACATGGATGACGATGTCGCCGAGACGGATAAGCTGTCGGTTGGGCCTGTCCTTTCCCGACTACTGTCGGCCATGCGCCCAGAGGCGCGCCCGCAGCCTAGCGAGGACAAGCCGATGACCAATGGAATCATTGGCGACACCGAACCCAAGGAGGAAGTTAATGGTGACTCGACCGCAGGCGCACCTGGCGAGGACAGCAAGAGTATCCCACCTGCCTCGTTCATGACGGAATCCTCTGGCGAGGCGTGGAAAAGGGCCACGCACCCGAAGCTAGATTACTCCCAGGTAGACGAGCGCATCAAGCAAGAGCTCCGTCACATTGGGTTTCTACCGCAGGAAGGCTTCGAAGGCGACTACGACGGTCATTTCGACGACGAAGTTGCGGCCCGTCTGCGCCTCTTGCAAGACCGTCTTCGTGATCAGATGCTCATCAACGGCGCACGCAAATCCCGGATCACCGAACTGGTTAAGGAACGCATGGCTCACCAGGAGTACCAGACAATCCTCGAAGACCTTGACACGCAAGTCCAAGGGGCCTACTTGAAGCGCACCCGGACCATGGGCAAGAGCAAGAAGGCAAAGCGCCCAGGCGGTGCGGGCGGAGGAAACAGTGCGTCAGCAGGTGCTACGGGCATGGCACGACCAGGCATTGGCGACGTGACGAAGACGTTGATGGAGCGCCGACGCCGATGGATAGAGAACATCGGCACGGTGTTTGACGACGAGAACCTCGGCAAGGTCCCGCGCGCGACGAATCCCGACAGCACCATCTTCAAGTCACAGATCATAACAGATCTGCTGAAGAAGGAGCGGCTGGCATGGGATGAAGAGGTCGAGGAAGAGTAGGGTCATCAGCGTTATTCTTCATCTACCTTGCGCGCTTCCGTTTACGATGTTCATAGGGAATGGTGGGTGGTCATTTCTAGAGATACCAAAGGCGGCGTTGGAAGGAGTTCATTTCTTAGGAAACGAAAGGGGGTCGCAAACCTGCGGACGGCCACATCCACGGCAAAGGGCAGTCTTTCTGAGCTATTGCTTGACTGTATAATATGTAGCTGATATCGATGAATTCCAGAAACCAGGTACATTATTGCAATCCCTCTGCCTCTCTTTATGGGTATGATGTTCTTACTCCTGTACCCTTTTACACTGGACCCTCATAAGTCTCCGTACCCTCCTCATCCCTAAGCGAAAGGTGCGTTTATCATCAACAGAATAAGCACGCTGGAATAAGCATCGAAGATGACGTTATAACTATGAGCTCTTGACCTGCCATATCGAGATCCCCTGAGGTCCGTTATCTGATCGATGTGCCCCGATAGCGGGGTAGTGGGCTAACCTTAGCATCAACGACCCCCACGTGTGATGGTTAAGGTAGGTTTCCCGCAATCAAGACCATGTTGCACAGTTGCATACTCCTACGTAAGGTTGAGTAACCTCGTGAGATAGAAATAAGAGGCAAAGTAGCCTTGAAAGTGCGTGAAGAATGCATCTCGTGCCGAAAGAGGTTTGTGCTCTCGAACCATGACGTACGATCCTGAGATATTTGAAGGTCGCAGACCCAGAACTATGTTATAATATGGGCTAACATCCAGTCTCTCCTATACAGCTTGATAAGCTCGTCATCTCACAACTGGGCTCGTTGGCCCAGAAGCGCCTTGCGAGAGGTGTCAAGCTGAACCATACAGAGGCCACGGTGAGTTTATATCACTCTTGAAAGCTTCTTCAAGCTATACTGCAGCGCCGCGTCCTGGAGTGCCTCGTGCTGACCGAAACCCCAGGCTCTCATCGCCAACAACCTCCAGGAGCTCATCCGGGATGGCCAACACACGGTCGCCGACCTGATGAGCATCGGGTCGACGATGCTGGGCCGCCGGCACGTCCTCCCCTCCGTCGTGAGCACGCTCAACGAGATCCAGGTCGAGGGCACGTTCCCGACGGGCACGTACCTGGTCACGGTGCACAACCCCATCGCGACCGACGACGGCGACCTCGCCAAGGCGCTCTACGGCAGCTTCCTGCCCGTGCCCGACGCGGCCCTGTTCCCGCCCGCGCCGGCCTCGGCCTACGAGGCCGCGGCGCAGCCCGGCGCCGTTGTCGTCGTAAAGGGGCGCGTGACCCTCAACGAGGGCCGACGCCGCATGCGCCTGGTCGTCACGAGCCGCGGCGACCGCCCCGTCCAGGTCGGCTCGCATTATCACTTCGTCGAGACGAACCCGCAGCTCGAGTTCGACCGACGCGCTGCGTACGGGTTCCGCCTTGACATCCCCGCCGGCACCTCGGTGCGCTTCGAGCCTGGCGATGCCAAGACGGTCACACTGGTCGAGATCGGCGGGAACCGCGTCATCCGCGGAGGGAACTCGCTCGCGAGCGGGAAGGTCGACCTCGGGCGTGCGGATGCTATTATTGAGGCCCTGCAGAAGGCGGGCTTTGCGCATGAGGTCGGCCCGGGCGGCGACGCGGCGTTGCTTGGCGGAGGTGAGGTGCAGGCCGCGACGCTGGATCGCGCGGCCTACAAGACGATGTTCGGGCCCACGACGGGCGACCGCGTGCGGCTCGGTGCCACGGACATCTGGATCAAGGTCGAGCGGGACCTCACGGTGTACGGCGACGAGTGCAAGTTCGGTGGCGGCAAGACGCTGCGCGAGGGCATGGGCCAGATGACGGGGTGTCCCGACGCCGAGAGCCTGGACATGGTGGTCACCAACGCGCTGATCGTCGACCATTCGGGTATCTACAAGGCCGACATTGGCGTCAAGGACGGGCTGATCGTGGGGATTGGCAAGGCGGGAAATCCGGATGTGATGGATGGGGTGACGCCGAATATGATCGTTGGGAGTTGTACCGATGTCATTGCGGGCGAGGGCAAGATCATTACGGCGGGTGGGCTGGATTCGCATATTCATTTCATCTGCCCTCAGCAGGCGTATGAGGCTATTGCATCTGGTATTACTACCATGCTCGGTGGAGGTACTGGACCAAGGTATGAATCACGCCTGTGCTCCTAGGATCGAAAGGTTTGACACTGACGATTATGCAGTGCCGGCACGAGCGCTACGACCTGCACGCCCGGCGCCAACTACATGCGGCAGATGCTCCAGGCCTGCGACGAGCTGCCCGTCAATATTGGCATCACAGGCAAGGGCAACGACAGCGCCCCGGGGCCCCTCCGCGAGCAAGTCCTAGCCGGCGCCTGCGGCCTCAAGCTGCACGAGGACTGGGGCACGACACCCGCGGCGATCGACTCGTGCCTCAGCGTGTGCGACGAGCTGGACGTGCAGTGCCTGATCCACACGGACACGCTCAACGAGAGCGGCTACGTCGAGTCGACGATCGCGGCCTTCAAGAACCGCACGATCCACACGTACCACACGGAGGGCGCGGGCGGGGGCCACGCGCCCGACATCATCAGCGTGGTCGAGCACGCCAACGTGCTGCCGTCGAGCACGAACCCGACGCGCCCCTTCACGCGCAACACGCTGGACGAGCACCTGGACATGCTGATGGTGTGCCACCACCTCAGCAGGAACATACCCGAGGACGTGGCGTTCGCCGAGTCGCGCATCCGAGCCGAGACCATCGCGGCCGAGGACGTGCTGCACGACCTCGGCGCCATCAGCATGATGTCGTCCGACTCGCAGGCCATGGGCCGCTGCGGCGAGGTCGTGCTGCGCACCTGGAACACGGCGCATAAGAACAAGGTGCAGCGCGGCCCGCTGCCCGAGGACGAGGGCTCCGGCGCGGATAACTTCAGGGTCAAGCGGTATGTGAGCAAGTACACGGTCAACCCGGCTGTTGCGCAGGGCATGGGACACCTGGTTGGTAGCGTCGAGGTCGGCAAGTTGGCGGACTTGGTGCTTTGGGATCCGGCGTGGTTTGGGGCGAAGCCTTTGACTGTTGTTAAGAGCGGCTTGATTGCTTGGTCGCAGATGGTATGTCTTCCTCCTCGCTCTCCGTCCCCCTTCCCCCCCTACTCCAGCTCCCCCCCTTTTCCTCATAAAAAACTCCCACTAACACTCCACCTCTCCCCAAAATCAGGGCGACCCCAACGCCTCGATCCCAACCGTGCAGCCGGTGCTAGCGCGCCCCATGTTCGCGCCCCTGGTGCCGCAGACGAGCGTGCTCTTCGTGTCGCAGGCCAGCATCGCGTCGGGCGCCGTGGCCTCGTACGGCCTGCGCAAGCGCGTCGAGGCCGTCCGCGGCTGCCGGTCCGTCGGCAAGAAAGACATGCGGTTCAACGACGCCATGCCCCGCATGCGCGTCGACCCCGAGACGTACAGGGTCGAGGCTGATGGGCGGCTGTGCACGGCGGAGCCGGCGGAGGCGCTGCCGTTGACGCAGGCTTGGTTTGTTTATTAGATAGGGGGTGGGAAAGGGAGATGGTTGGAGGAGGACTTTGATATATTCTGCCTGCCTGATGGGATGATACGGGAACGCTTTCTTGTGGTTGAAACGGGATCTAGGGAGCCAAGTGGCGGTGTTGGTTGATGGTGTTGGCGATGCTGCAAGGTGGTGTAACGTGTTGGTCGAAGGCGCATATCTGCATTTGGTCATTAGGTTGTTGGATGTTGTAGCCATAACTTGGACAACGTACCGTATCATTTCGTTATAAACGGGGAGTTCAAGAGACTCATGTCATATGGGTATCGCGAACTTCTGCTCCAGCGCCTCTTACACAGTGAATGTCTGGCTACCGGCCTACCTACCTGGAAGAAGCACCTTGGGCATGTATGCAAGTACCCGCGATGCTCGCGCTCGTTGAGGACCTTTTTATAAGGTAGGGAGAGTAAAAGTAACAACTCCGACGTTAGATAGACAGCGGACGCTCATTAGGCCCGGGAGCTAACCAGGAGGTCGAGGCCGGTCGTGAAGTCGTGTAAGATGATTGGCTGCTGTGGCTCAGGGTCAGGAAGGGGGTGCTGCGGTGCTGTGAACCTGCTGAGGTGTGATCCTCGCTGTCTACACTGGACCGCACCGCACGCGCTGTTCTCTGCAAAAGGCTTTCGTCCTCGTCCAACGTGCCCTGATTTCCCCTTCACTTGCAGCGCTATGGTTGTTTGGCGGCTCTGGTGTTGACAATGACGGGCCTGCTTCCAAGTTGGTATGGGCTTCGGGCCTTACGCTTCCACCCAGGCCCCATACGTACCTGAGGTACCTATAACTTCATGCTCCCAGTGGATAATGACTGCACCGGAACTGAACACCTGCAGTCACCAAGAAGTTTTACTCAACGGTAGCCTATTGACAGGCTGAAATCGACATATTAAACTCTAGACTAGCTATCCAAACGGACGCTACAGATTCTCCATGATGCTCATGGATTGCTAGAACCGCCGGATTCTACATTGGCCCTGTAAGGTATGGATATTGTACGTCGATTTCGAGGTGCCATTGTACATGCCAAGTTAACATGCTGAGCATCCTTGGTTTGGTAGGTAGGTACCCAGAACGTCGAGGTAAGAGGGTATGCTACAGCGAATAGGCCCCTAAGCGTTCGCCTAGGCCTATGGCTGGCTGGCTCTAAGCCCACGGACAACCGTCAGACAGGCACGAAGACCTACCAGTAGATATTCAGCTAGACCCAACTGTATGCCATCAACTGGAACTGCTTCTGTGCCTAATAGCCGCCGCAAGATGGTATCGTTACAGTCCACAACGCCAATTATCTATCAGCAGGCACATGAACATCCAGCTACATGTTACACTCAGCCCTCAGAATCCATATCACCGGTAGGAATATTCAAAATACTGGAACAAGAATACAGGAATAAGCAGCTCTGGCTCGGTATGCCTCTTCTGATGCTTATTCCAGTGTGTTTATTCCAATTGCGATGAATATACCGCTGTTTGCTTTCTGGGTGGTGTACGGAGACTTATGGGGATTCAGTGTACCTTACCTTACCTAGAGCATCACGGAGTGTCACAATATCATCATTGAGAGCATATATAGCTTCAAACCACCCAGTATTGTGACAAGGTTTGACCTATGGACGAGCATCAATCGCAAGACTCATAAATACAAGATGACCGTTCCAGACCGTTCCAGACCGCCAGACGGAAAACTCCTGTTCTCGACCAAGTTTCCCTATTCCTCAAAGACGCGCCGTCCGTCCAGTTTTCTCCCCATGCACTCGGGTGCAACAGTTTCGTCAATCATAGAGCGCCTCGTAAAGCACGAGACAGCATTGTGCAAAGCATCTCCCTCGTACAGTCGAGCCACAATAGCTCGCCGGGACAAGCTGGTGCACTCGAACAATGCCAGGGTTTGGAAAACCAACGCAGTGAAAGGGCAAAACGAAAAAGGTATCTTCGAAGGCAAACAGATGAGAGAAAAGACGCCAAAGTGATTCGATGTGATGAGATCACGTCAGCTCTAGGTCGTCTTTTTCTTGCGAGCAGATTTCTTAGGCTCCTCGGTGATGTCTGCTGCCTTCGAGGCACGCTTGCGCTTCTTGTCGGGGCTGGCGGGCGTCGAGACCTTAGCACCGCTCGTCTCACCTTCCTCAACATCAGCAGCAGTGCTCTTTCGCTTGCGGGTTGCCTTGGGCTTGGGCGTCTTCACATCCTCCATGGGGACCGCCATCTGAAGCTGTTCGGCGATGGCGTCATGATCGTTGGGAGCGATAGCCTCCTCGTTCGCCAGCTCCGCCTGGGGAATACCGTTTGCGTCAGCATAAGAGAGAGCATCCGGGTCGCTCATGGCTTTGGCATCAGGGTTGCCGGCCTTGTACGAGTGAACACGTGCGTTGTACAGGCGCAGGTTGAACTGGTAGGCGTTGTTCCATGCCTAAAAGTCATATTAGTTACGTGTGACGTTGGTAGTTATCTAGGGTGCGCTTACAGTCTTCTCGTTGGGAGTCATGGAAGCCCACCGGCGTTGACCCTCCTCTTGAACAGCACCCTTGGGGGCCTCCGTACCAAGATCGTTGGCGATGATGGGGCGAGCAGTCTGCATGTACAGAAAGTAGGGAGTAAGGGGTCTCTTGGGCGCGTTCTGGTCGTGGGTACGCTTCTTGCGCTCCTTCTTCTCCTCGTGGACAGGCAAGAGGTCACCGAGTTCGCCACCGATGCCGTTGAGACTGGCGACAAGAGCCTGCATCGAAGGGCCAGGACCATTGTCGAACGGAGCCGGCTCTCCAATGAGCAGGTTGGTCTGACGAACGAAGTCATCTGCAAAGTTCTTCATCAACGCTGTAATAGTATTGAAGCGTTGAGCGACCTGACGAAGCTGTTAACATGTGCATTTTCCATTGAGTGGATGGTCTGGGTGTAAAAGGAGTGCTCATCGACACCCACACTGTGCTCATGACCAGTGTCGGTGTTCATGATAGGGGGTGGTAGGTAGGCCAGTGAGGCTTGGGTGAGGCTTGGGTGAAGCGGGGGCGGGGCATGAACCGAGACACTGCAGTGAGACGCGACCTGGTCATCCAGCACATTTGCTTGCACGAGAAACCGGGACAGAATGCATGACACCAGCCATCAAGCCGAGCTCTGGAGAGCTGACAAAGATGATCAATACTGTTGAATTACAGATCATTGCTACATCCTGGGCTTGGATCCTGGGAGGTGATGTGTCGCACGCGCTGCGCTGGAATTTCGACATGACAATGTGATGATGGATAGATAGGAACGTGAAGTGGCCGAAACGGAAAAGATGATGCCGATGGTATTGGATGTGACCAGGTGGAAGGAGGAGGGGACTTACACTATCGCGAACTCTGACGAACTCTTCGACGCCAATGGTACGCTGCTGCACAGGCATGCCAGCGCCGATGCCAGCGCCCATCTGCTGCTGCATCGGCTGTTGGGCGATGGCCTGGGGCGCGAGATGCTGCGGCTGCTGATGGTGCATCTGGTGCTGCTGGTGCTGCATCTGGTGCAGCGGCTGCATCTGTTGCTGGAGGTGGTGCTGCTGCTGCTGCTGCATGTTAGGCATCGGAATCATTGCTGGCGGCGCGGGAGCGACAGGTGCGGGCAGCTTGTTGGCGTCGGCTTTCTTGGGGCGGGCCATAGTGAAGGGGCGGTGCAGTGAATAAGTGAGTTGGCGGATGGCGGCGATGTGTTATGTTGTAGGCCAGCCTGGGTGCTGATGCGTGCTTGTGGTGCTGAATGCTGAGTGCCGAAGGTACTGAACAGTGCCCAGGTGATGGCGGTGGGCGGAGAACGAATGTTTTGGCGCCGATGTTATGTTCAGATCAGTGAGGGTTTTCACGCACGTTGTTTAAGTGTGCGTGTGGCGGCGGATGCTCGCTAACAAAACGGCGAGAGAAGGAAAAGCTCGGGGGGTAGTGCGCTGGAGCGAGAGGGCGGCGGGAACTCTAAATACCTTACGGAACGCGCCCAGGCACGCCGGCTGATTTGGAGCACAGGGCAATCATACACTGATTGAGAATTGCAGGTGGCAACCAACCTTCCCAGAGGGGGGGAGGGGCTGCTGCAGCTGGAGCGCCTACCTCTTCCAATTCCAGGTCACTCCATGCCACATCGGCCTTCCGGACACTGGACACCTGCAGTCTTTGTCGCCCTCTGAGGTACCTGTACGAGTACCTCATCTCAGCGACAACCAACGTCATGATCAAGTGCTGCAAGTACAACCTCTGTTTTACCCAAAATCATTGAGAAGTTCTAATAAGTCTCATCATGGCGCTGTTCTTCATCACATCTTGAAGCATTGCATCTAGAGGGGATTACAAACAGATATGCGCACTGAACGTCAAGTGTTCTTGTCTCTTCTGCACTACCGTTCACTTTGGTTGAGCAGGTACTCGGCCTGGCTTGCGACTGCCCTGGCAAGCAGACCGAACCACAGTGTGCCCGCTTGCCCCCGTCAAAAGTGAAAAATTTAGCGACAATTTGAGGAGCGCCCACCAAGGGAAATCAGCCATAGGTCAGGCCTAATCAGACCTTTGTGCTGCTCTACCGGTACATTCTCTTTGCATTAAAATGTTATTCACTCACGTTACTTTCTATCAAGTTGTCAATATTTCCATGCGATGAAACCAACGTTATGAACATGCTGTGGTTTACTTTATACTTATACCACTGATGCAGGTTATCATCCAGGATTCCTGGAGTTAAACAATGTGAATGCCCCTATAGACTTGCGCTGAAGGCACGTTGGTCTTCTAGGGCCTCTAGAGAAAGACCTCTGGAAGGCGTATCGCTATGAGCGCTGGCGACCGACGATGTACTACAGCGCTGGCGTTCAAGTCATCAGCATTAGAGCGGGAGCCGGTCGGGCAGTCGGGGAGCACTGGCAACACCCAACACGCGGATCAGCGAGAAAGTGATGACACTGATTTGCATGGGCGAACACCTCCCGCTGCAGTGTCGGACACTCTGGCCCCCTGAACCAATCAAGTGGCTGTTTGCTCCAGGCGGGTGCAACCATCAACATCCAAGGCCCAGGTCGAGTGACAGCGCCAAAAACCAGCGGTAAATGCCGGGCTGCCTTGGGCATTCTCGGGGTCAAACCAGCCCCCGCCACCTTCTTCCAGCGCTCCTTCCAGCTCTTGTCTCTCCAGGTCGGCACACCTACTTAAGGTAGGTAGGTAACCACAGCACTCAACCACCACCACCACCCTTACCGGCTACCTACCTATGCGAAGCTCACGGCAGTTTGTTATCCTGGCTGGCAGGCCATTACTACCTAGGGGTTGTTCTCCTTGGAACCACGAGCCTGTCGCGCCGGTCTACCAGTCACTACCTACCTACTCCGGACAGGCTGTTCTCGTTACTGGATGCACAACTCACAAGCTGAACGTCCGGCTCTCCTTCTTTATAATTAGCCTCGAGTGAATGAGTACTGATGCAACTACTTACTAGGCCTAGAAGCGCGTCTAGTTCCTAGAGTCTTTTCTTAGAGCTCCCCGAGGTTCCTGTTGGGCTGCAACTTACCTTTATATTCAAACTCCTGGTCCAAAAAAGCCATCCTAGATCTTCCACAACCAACTACGCATCACTGCTCGCTGTCCTTCGAGAGCTACCCGCTACAGCAAACTCGCTGTTGTCTACTTGAAGTGCTTGCCTATGAATTTATATACCTGTCTTTCCATCAAGCATTATGCCCGCTATGGTTCCCAACTACGATATGGCACAGCACCTCTTCCACGACAATAAATCAACAGATATCAGGCGAAATATAGATGCTCGTTAAGTCAAGTAGCCCAACGTCTCTACTGCCCAGCTTCATAGGTATCTTAGATTTGAAGTCAAGACACCTAGTGTCTCGCGGGCCACACTCCTACTTCTTCTCACTGAAACCTGAGCTTTCAAATTTTCCCAATTCATATGAAGCTTCTCGGGTATGCGAGATGTCTAACGGCAGTCTCTGAGCGTGGGTTGTTCATTAGCGGACGGCATCTAGCCAAGCTCAGGTGCAGGCACGAAGTATCTCTGGATATTTAGCCGCAGTCTCCGAGAAATAGCATACGTATAGACATGACCATGCAGGGCTTTCGCTATGGCTCCGCCGTCCAGCTTGCTAACTGTCATCTTGATATGCTTATAGCGGCCCATCCTCCTCAAAATGTTTTCTTGGGCCTTGGAAGTTCGACAAGAAGGTCGAGCATGCTCTTGTAGTCGTGGGCTATCTGTATCTGTCTCCCGATAGCATGAAAGACTGCAGTCTAATATCAAGACCAACAATCAACATCTGAAACGCGGCTCTTTACCCCTCACTTCACTTCAATGCCGCCCTCCAAGCCCCAACAAGCTCACAGTAAAAGTCAAGCAAAAAGTAATACATACTCTCTTCTCACACATGACAGAATTATATGTATGGAGCTGTAAAATGTTTCGATACTGACTAAGGTACAGCGCGTGAGGTAAGTTTCGACTAGATGGGCTGGATGGTCACAGTCATCCCGCATAAGTCTCCATCCGCGCACGTCGAAAGATTTCTTTTCGATAAAATACCAACGGTGAAATAAGCACCCTGGAATAAGCAGTTATAATCTGTTGAGCCAAGCTTACGGCTTATTCCAGTGTGCTTATTCCAATTCATAAATCTACCGCTGTTTGCTAAGACGGGTGGTGTACGGAGACTAATGAGAGTTCAGTGTACCTCTGGAGTCTCCTGACAACATTGAAGCCACGCCACGAGACCTGTTTACATGGAACTCAGTCCGCTCAAGAGATGCGGTCTACAATACACATCACACGATTAGATGCAAATTTGGAGATTTCAGACCAAAAGTACAGGTTACTTCACCGAACTTCTCTAACCAGGCCGCGCAGGACTGGTTAAAACAGTGACAGGTCACTTCAAGACGGGCTTCTCAGACAACCTCTGCTCTGATATTTGACTACACGCTCTTGGCAAAGCCGAGTCCGCCACGTACTATATCAAGCCAGTATTGACGGCCAGACTTGGGGATACTCTCGTCTATATACTTGGAGGTTCCGAGCTGCCACATTTTCAATCATGTTGACAGATTTCCAGGTGAGAGGTTGCGGCGGCCAGCTGGTGGCAGTGCCTGCCAGGCCAAGGCCAACTGCAATCCATTGCAGCTCTCGTCTCTCGAAGCTCGATCCACGTATCACTCTGGCAGCCCCTCGCCTTGGGTTAGAGCTTGGACCTGCGCCGATCACCGGTAGCCGTTTAGAAACGTTGATTGGATCCGAGGCAGCGCACTGGGGCCCTGGCCGTTGACGAAGCTTCCATGTCCCCGCCCCGTCGTCCTGTCAAGTGTCAACTTAAGAACTTACCGTACTTGACGTCTGTCATTTTTTGTAGATAACCTAGGAGCTTAATTGTCCTGAATTCATCCCTTTCTCACGTCGTATCCTGCAATGGCATACCTATGTGACGAACGACGAACGACGAAGCCCAAATCATGCATAAATCACCCTTGGACCCTTGTCGAATCAGATGTCATGGCACATCCGCGTCGTCGTCTTGGCAGTACGACTTGGCAGTGCGACTCGCAGCTGAGACAGGCCAATCTCAACCGCGAGAGACCCCTCCAGACGAGATGCGCAGAAAGCCAAGACATGAGACCAAATAGTTTGTGGCATAAGCAGCAAAGCGGTGGTTATTCCAGTGGATTGTCCCTGGCATAATCGCTTGGTTGGGGTGCTTATGCCATTTTTTGTTTCAAGCCTGTATGTTGGTGTTGGTTTTGCCCCTCCCCCTCCATACCATCACGTCGCCCTCCTGTTGTTGCCCTACTTGACGACTTCTTCCACCTCCTCGCGGCACCCCTACAATTTACACATTCCCGCATCGTGACAGCAACAAGATCATGATTACCCTGAAGCCCTATACCGCCCTTTTGGGGTTGGCTCTCCTTCTCGCCTTCGCACGCCCTGCCCTTGCGTTCGGCGCTGGCAATATTGCAGGCATCTCCAAGGTTGAGGGCCAGAACTGTACGTTTGACTGCAAATATGCTTTGCCGCGTACCTAGGCAAATAGCTGACCTCTTGTTTCGGATAGGGCGTCATGGCGATATCGAAGACACCCTCCTCACGATCCTTATGGCCCGAGCCGTTGGCGGCAAGAAGTTCAACAAGCTGATGGTCTCGCGCGTCTACTTCGGCAACTGGCTACGAGACTACTCCCAGGCGATCGATGTTGGCACCGTGAAGTCCGTTTCAGCTGAAGCTATCCGCCTGCTGCTCTGCGTGCTGGGTTTCCTGACCTTTGGCTTCGGCTCCAAGGAGTTTGAGGTCACGGCCGACCGCCTCGGCTGCTACCGACCGGAAGACCACATCGACAACCCCAAGAACTACGCCGACAACCAAGATGCCCGCCAGTACGACCGAAGGCTTCGGGGCCCTGTCAACGAGCGTGTTGAGCTCGCTGTTGACGGGGAGACCGGCATGAAGAACTACATTGCCAACGAGAATGCCCGAATCATGACCTCGGCCCTCCACGTCAGACGACTCTTTGGCCGGTGCATCGAGCTTGCCCGATCCTCACGAGGTGGTCGCAACAAGGAGGATTTCTACGAGGCGCTGCGATTACTTGGTACCGGTCTTCACTGCCTAGAAGGTACAGCCACCCGTGGGGTTTTGACAGAATCCCGAAATCCCAACATCCAAAACTCCAATTTGTGCTTTTGGAATAAGCATTCTGGAATAAGCAGAAAAAGTGGCATATCAGATCAGGACTGCTTATTCCAGGGTGCTTATTCGGCTTTTTGAAATCCAGGCTAATAGTACTTTTCTAGATTTCCTAGCTCACAGCAACTACGCCGAGTTGGCTCTCATTGAGATGGGCGAACGAGACGTCTTTCCCCACGTTGGCAGCCGTACCAAGATGCAGATCCCTGGCGCTCGACACGAAGTCTGGCCTTGCATCACTGGTACTTTTGGTGGTGTTGATTTCCTGCACTCTGTTACTGGTGAAGGTGGGTGATGCCTTTATGTTACGAAGCTGTAGCGCATTTGTCTAACCTGTGGTCTACAGTTTCGGACAAGATAACCCAGAATGAGATTGAGGAGCTGGAGAACAACCTTCAGGAAAATGCGAACAGCGATACCAGCATCCTGGAGGGACTGCTGGACAAGATCCCAGACGGCATCTTCGGCGGTGATGATAAGAAGCAGAAGATGTCTGACATCCAGAGCAATGCCAATAACGCACAGATGGGAAGCACGTCAATCTCGCCCCGCGACCCGGAGGAGTTCACCCAATACGTCCAGCAGGTCTTCCAGCAGGTCATGCCGGCTATCGAGTTCCATGACGAAGTTATGAAAGCCATCAGTGAGGCCATCGAGAACATTCCCATCCTCCCAAAGATGATTGAGCAGCTCGAGGAGCAGCTGTCAAAGTGGGTCTTCACCATCATGGCCCCTTTCGTTGTTCCGATCATCAAGCAAGTCAAGAATGAGCTACGTACTGGTTCTTCGGAGATCATTGAGAGCAGCAAGAACGAGCAGCACATCGTTTTTAACGATGACGAATGCTCCGATCCCACCCACTCCATGCTTTCCAAGGACCATTTCTCTAACGTAAGTCGAGACCACTGCGTCAGATGCCTACCATGCTGACCTCGACCAGATCTTGAATGAGATTGCCGGCAAGACGGCCAGTAAGGTCGTGGCATGGGTTGTTCCTCAGCTCATGGAGGCCTGGGACGATGAGGGCGTTGACATTGATCGTCTCCTGAACCGAATCATCAGCGGAGTCTTTCACCACCCCGCCCAACGCGGCATGGGTGAGGACGGCGCCCGTAACGGACGAGAGATCATGTTTCGATCTGTCGAAGACTGGTGGAATGAGATGGATGACCGTGCAAAGGACGATTACCGACAGAAGCTCTCCCGTGATGGTGTTGAGCGTGGAGAGAACCACAAGGAAGGTGTGGAAGACAGTGGTCACGGTTGCGGAAAGCCACTCGGCATGCACAAGAACTTCGCTGAGGGAGGAACAATGGAGGACCGCATCGCCAACGCTGCTGCCGGCGCTATCTTTGAGGGCGTTACCGGTGGCCTCTCTGACTTCGTTGAGGGCCAGTCAGGTGGTCAATTTAAGCTGCCTGGGTCTGGTGGACGAGAGGAGCAATCTAACGGCCCTGGAGGACTCCTTGGAGCAATTGGTGGCTCCCTTCTGGGAGGGTTCAAGAGCGAGGAGAAGCAGTCGTACGGCAGCAGACGCCAAGACGATGATGGATCCTACACCGAAAATCGCACCGAATACGGCCGTTCAGGAGACCGTTACGGGCAAGCCGAGGCTTCAGAGACCCGTTTTCCGGGCGGACGCCAAGAGGAAGAATATCAACGCTATGAACAGGATGATAGGGGTCAGGGCTACGGCTACCAGGAAAGAACGGAACGTCGCCCGAGTCCCGGTGGATACGAAGAGCGAACCGAACGCCGCTACGAAAGCAACAATGACAGCTACGAGGAATCCAGTGGCTGGAACAGACGCGGAGACGACGATAACGGTCGGCAACAGTTCGGTGGCGGTGACGGCTATGGTCGACGCGGCGAGGAACGACGCGATGATCGATATGGCCGCGAGGAAAGCTCTGGATACGGTCGTCAGGAAGATCAGGGCTACGGTCGACAAGGTGACCACGGTCGCGAGGAGGACTCTGGATATGGAGGACGCCGTGAGGAGCGACGCGATGACGAGGACAACGGCGGTGGTGGTGGCTTCCTCGGCAATATCATCGACCGGGTTGGTGAGAGCCTCGACGACAACAGTGACCGCCGACGCCGCGATGAGGGTGGCAGCGGTTGGGGCTACTAGGGCTGCGAAAGGAAAAACGGTATAAGCAGAAAATCAGGTGGTTATTCCTAGCTAAATCTCCTGGCTTAAGCAGTTCGAGGGGAGCTTATTCCACGACTGAGATCAGTTCTGAACTTGAGATCTTATGGCCCTTAAATATGAAAATGGTATAAGCAACGATTTGGTGCTTATTCCAGTTGATTACCCCTGTGAATTTTATTTATGCCAGGCGCTTATGCGACTTTTTCCTGTTCGCCATAGATCGCACATTGCCCTCAGCGCTCCTTACTATAGTCCTCGGAAGGGTCGTCAAATGGCCAAGCATCCTTTAGGATCAGCCATTGGTATGCGACTTAGAGTGCCTATTTGAGAGACGGCGTCTTTGGAACCAGCCCAATGCCCTTATTTGCGTAGGTGGCCAAGTTTACACAACTCAGGTACACTGAACCTCCAAGAAGGGGTTTATGGAATAGAGTTACCAGACTGGTGGCAGTGTTGCAAGCTGTAGTGATGAGCCAGTTTGTGATATCCGTGATGAGCTTGGTTAATTCCGCAGTCCACAGGCCACCAGAGCAGTCGCCGTTTCCGTCAGAAGAGTGCAGAGCTTGCCTGCCATGTGTTGCCATGAGGATCTCATCTCCATCGTTCTCATCATCCGAGTCAGACTCGGATCCCCCCTCTTCCAACTCTTCTAACTCGGTCAGTTCGGCGTCGTCTGTGGTTCGGGCCACAATTTTCTGCCCGTGGGCCTCTGCGGGCAGCAGATAGCACACATGCTTGAAACAGCACTATCTCTTTCGATGTACCTCAGTGTCTCACCGATCACTCTGTATTTCACAACTCGTTAAATAAGCATGCGACGAGTTGCTTTGGCAGTGTCTGAGGGAATTCAGCGTCCAACAAGTAGTGTACGATCCATGCCGTGTCTTTGTGCATCCTTCACTTAGCAAGCGAAGGAGATATTCTTCATAATATAATAAGTACTCTGCAATGACCATTAAAGATGGCTTTTAGGTGCAAGGCTGCTTATCCCAGGTTGTTCATTCAACTGATATAAACACAGCATTGGTATACTCGACTTGATAGAGGGATGCCGAAAGGCGACTTCTGGGGGGTGACTGCGACAGTCGTCAGGTATTTATCTCTTCAGCAAGCAGGGACCCACGTGTTTACGATGTCGATAGCCTTTACATCGTAGATGATCACCACCCCTTGTTCCATGTGGAAAACATGCTTTACTTACTTCCCATAACCTTGATTTCTACTAATACGTACCCCTATGTCAATGAAGGTGATGCTACCGCCGCCGTTGAGCAGCGCCTCGCTTCACATTGCACCTCTAGGAATAGGTGCGGGGAAAATGTCACTCTGCGAAGCCTAATACAACGACAAGGCCAAGCTCGTCTCCGATATACGACCCATGACCTCACTGGTCGGTCTACCCTTCGGCTGTTCCTTTCTTCCAGATGGCGGCCTCTTGCTTTGCCTGCCTGTTGGCTCCGATCACCTTGGTTCCTTTCGGGCGTTCTAGCTGCGAGCTGCGCGTCTGAGCTATGAGCTTTTGCGGTCTGGGTCGATCATGACCTCTACACAGCAGGGCTCAACCACAAGAGGCTATGTGATTCCAGGTGGGTGATTCGTTGGCCTTTAGTCGGTGAAAGGAGTTCGCTGGATCTGACTTGCAGAGAGAGGGGATGCCTCTATGGGGACGGCTGGGCTGGTCGCCAGCCAGGTTGCTGCTGATTTTCCTCCAGGATCATATTCGGTATACACCCTCCTTGCTCAATACTGCCGCCATTGCGTCGATGTCTATCACCACTCTGTTCGTTGACGTCTCTTTCGGGCTTCGCAGCAGTTGGTCAGTACTTTCCGTGTCCGGCGTCGGTAACCACTCTTTTATATTGGATAAAGATGTCGAGAGGACGACCAGAGAGAACCATAGCGATCAAATGAAGTAGCTGCAATCGAAGGACCCGACCGTAGAGGGTCGTAAACATCCTTCGAGGGCCCGTCAAGTCGTTCGGTAGGAACGGGGGCTGTAGTGTACACAACGTAGAGCACGACGTCACGCTAGAAAAATTCGCGAAGAGTGGTTCCCCGCTCGTAATTCTTTCTCATTCTTCCACCAGCCCACGCCTACACGTCCACAACTTCATCAATCGGAACGGCAATCCTGGACGCTTCGTATCTTCTCAAAATCAGTGATATTGACAGTCAGGTGAAAATCATCATGTCGTCCGTCAAACAACGCCCAATTGTGGTCAATCCCGACGTCGGCAATGACAGCAACGGCAGCGCCGCTCCCAACAACCCCCTCCAATCAAGTTTCAACGCGAACGACGACGGCAGCAGCATCGACTCGGACGAACGGTACTTGGTAAGGCAGTGCTAGGAGCTGTCAATGATTGGCGAAAGCCTATGGTATTTGGTATTCTCAGCCTCGCAGCTCAGTGAGTTAAACAAGCATCAAGTGAACAGCAGTCAGTGGCACGCCGGTATCTGCGCTATTGTCCCTGCTCACCTCCCTTCCCTGTATGCGACAGGAGTGAGTAGGTACATGGCGCAGGTTGAGATCACACGGCACGAACTTGTTGCATTCACATGCGCGAAAGGAGATGCCATGACCATCGATTGATGCTCCCCTTCCCCTCCCCTACTCTGGCTTGCTAACGACCACTCAGCGTGCACTCGGATACAAGCAGGTACATTTTTGAAACATGCAGCACGAGGAAATACACTTGCTAATCTGTCCAAGTCTCTGCACCGGCAATGGAAGTTCTTCGAGAGCTTTGCAGCCAGCTTTGGTTCGTCAACTCGACACTCTGCAGCATATGGCACGTACTGACCGACCAAGCGGCGCTTTACTCCGTTGGTGGCATTCGGACCACCTTCACGATCGGTGTTGGTGCTGGTGGACCTGCTGCATACTGGTACGCAACAAGGTGACAAGCGTGTTACAGCTGAAGTGTACTGACAACTGCCAGGTCAAGCTATGTCGTGACTTGCGTCTTCGTCTTCATTACGGCTGCCGTGTTGGCTGAGGTCTGTTCTGCGCTTCCGGCTGCGGGATCAATCTACTTCTGGGCAGCCGAGTCTGGCGGACGTCGATGGGGCAGACTTTTCGGCTTCATCGTCGCCTGGTGGAGCACAACAGCATGGACGACCTTCGTCGCAAGCAACTGCCAAGCCGCCGCGAATTTCTTGCTTTCAGAGATCACCGTCTTCGGTTTAAACTTCACAACGGACGTAAACGACGTGAAGTTCCGGGCTGTGCAATGGATCGTCTCGGAAGCCATCTTGTTCTTGGCCATCGGTATGAATTACCTGGATCCGAAGACCTACAAGACCATCTTCCGCCTTGCAACAGGAATAATTCTGCTGGACTTCTTCCTCAACATCATCTGGTTGCCGATCGCTGTGCACAACTCATACGGGTTTCAGGATGCGAAATACGTCTTCACGCAGACCTATAACGAGACCGGTGCGCCACCTGTGTGGAACTGGATGCTCAGCTACTACGTTACTGCCGGCGTATTGGTCGGCTTTGAAGCGTCTGGCCATATCTCCGAGGAGACGAAGAATGCCAGCTCAGTTTCCGCGCGCGCTATCTTCTGGTCCGCCGTTGCGTCGGCGCTGATCGGCTTCCCGCTGGTCATCTTGTTCCTGTTCTGTCTACCAAACTTGGAGACGCTGTACAGCTTGGACGCACCTCAGCCATTCGTTGAGATCTACGCTATGACGATGGGCCGCAGCGGGCACGTCTTCATGAACGTTGTTTGCATCGTTGGTCTCATCTTCAACACCACCGTTGCCGGCGTCGCAAGCTCACGCTTGATCTGGGCCGTGGCCAGAGACGGCGTGCTTCCATTCTCCGGTTGGATCTCCAAGGTGTCGGACAAGAAGGAGCCCAGGAATGCCATCATTGTCATGCATGCCGTTGCCGCACTCTTGCTGTGCACCATCTTGCCGTCACCAGTGGCTTTCACTTCCTTGGTCTCGGCGGCTGGCGTGCCTACCATCACCGCGTACGCGTTGATAGCGTTTGGACGATTTTTCCTGACACCGCGGCAATTTCAGCATTCGCCATGGAGCCTGGGCAGATGGTCACGTCCGTTCACCCTGATCGCGTTGGTCTGGAACCTCTACCTTGCATGCGTGCTCTTCTCGCCACTGGAGTTCCCAGTCACATCGCAGACATTCAACTACAGCCCGGTCATCTTTGGTGCCATCACGATATTCGGCCTGTTGACGTACTTCCTTACGCCGGAGGAAGCGTGGCTGCCTGCTGCGCGTCTAGGCAAGGTCCATCGGTTGGAGGAGGAGTGGCAGGAATAGTTGAGTCCGGCTTTTCGCCCGATCATGACTTCATTGTCGTTTAACAGCTGGCGAAAGTGGAGATGATGAATTGTTGGCACTAAGAGATGAGAGGGGGTTAGAACAGGACCGGGAAGGGAATTTGGGAAGCCCACGAAGTACATGCGTCTGTGTACTGTTTCATCACTATGAGAGCAGTGGATCTTACCACCTAAGGAGGCAAGCAACTTCGCGAAAGTCAATGTTTTAGAGTAGATGGTGTGTTGCCAGTGATTGATCAGCACCTGCGGCAATCACCACGTACAGATGTTGTGGAGATGCAAGATACACCATCCGAGAAAGCAAGAAATGTTGTGCGCAGTCAAATTGAAAGACCAGCTCGTGGCTATTACCCCTTCTAGGTTGATTCAGTAACCCTTCAAATACCCAAGTGGTTACCCGGACTAGATACCGCAATGAAGCAAGAATTTGCAAACTTGAGGGTTTACTGAAAATGAGTACACTTCCTTTTACTCTCTCGCTTTTTAGCCGTGTTTGCTCTAAGCTGTCGTCACTGCGGAACAGGGCTAACACTATTGTTGGTAGTACACTTATATATTTTAGGCTCCTGGAGGGGCGGATTTCAACTGTGCCACCCTTTTCTATACCCTACGCACGGCATCATTTGGATACTCCATTGAGCATCATGACACGGAGAAAGCGTCCCGCTTTCGCTTCTCCATTGTATCACTCCTTGTATAATTGACAATGGGCAGTGTCATTTACTTCAGTTCCTATACAATTCATATAATACCATGTACATTCATCCGTTGGGATGTGAGCGGCAGCTATTGAAATGCATTGAATAGATAACTGCGAACAGGTGGGTACACCATTGTTAGAAGAACACACAATGACATTTGTACCTCAGGCAATCTCCTGTTCTGGTAAAGATTTTTATATAAAGTGCACGCCTGTAATCATTCTTCCTTTCACAGATTCTTCGCTGTCACTAGGTTCACTGCTTCGACAGCTACCTTCGAAAGCTACATTCGACAGCTACCTTCGACAGCTACCTTCGACAGCTAGAGCACGTCACACGCAACATCATGACTGCTGAAGAAGAAGAGAAGCACTATCCCAGTGGCACCGGCACCCTTACTCCACCCACTAAGCAAGCCATCACGATGCCTGTTCACCAGGTTGACAACGACGACACAAGCCATTAAAATGAGTTCAATAGATAGCTGCGAACAGGCAGTTATACCATTGTCAGAAAAGCACACAATGACATTTATGCTTCAGGCATTTTCTTACTTTGCCAGCAAAATTTCTTTTATAAAGCGCACACATATAATGATTCTTTCCTTTGATACATTCTTTCATCTTGCTGTCCTCGACCCTGAGCCACACCAGTTACACGATACGCTTACTAACCTCTTTGCGACACCAATCATGGCGACTGAAGATGCACACGCGTCTGCCCTCTCTGAGCCTTCCGTGTCAATGTGCTACATGGGCCTTCCCACAGAGGTCCGACACAAGATCCTCAGCGTGACCGACCTCGTAGCCCCCAAGTCTGCAATCTCCTGGGATCTGGAGCAAGGCTTTAGCCTGGGGTACGAGCGTGAAGACCCCTGGAAGACTCCGACACACCTCTTCCTTATCAGCAAGACCTTCACCGAAGATGCCCGAGCAGTATTCTTTGGCTGCAACCACTTCCGCGTCGAGTCCCGCTTCTTCACAATGAGCGCTATCAACTCGCTTACACAACTACACAAATCTCGCCTTGCTCTCAGCACTAGTTCATCAGGCACTACCCATTCTACCTTCATCGGAGCAACTGAAGACTCTGTGTGGCACATGGTCACACCCCCTGCGCTCGGCGACGGCGAGAACGACGACCTGCTCTACGACGACGACCACATCACAGCGGGCATTTTCCTAACCGAGGTCGTACCAAGATCCTCCCTGCAATACCTACGCTCGATCGACATCTCCATTCACGACCCGGGCGTCAAACCCGCGCGTCAGCGGGAGTGGCTGCACATTGTCGACTATCTCCAGGAAGCAGGCCTAGACCTGCGCTTCCTCCTAGCGAGGACCTGGGGCGGCATTTCCAAGAGCGAGCTCCCCTTCAGCAGGGAGCTGGAAACTGGCTACGAGCTCGTGACAGAGGAAAGACTGAACGAGCTTGGCAATTTTGTCGACAAGATGGTCTGGCCCCTGGATAATGACGGAACTCCCCGGGGTACGGGGCAGCTACTCGTGGACATGCGGCTATGTGACGCGCTTTGGGAGTTCTATGGCAATGTCATGTACCGCTTGCGCCAGAAGGGCGAGCCGAGAGCTGTTGGTGGGGAGGTCGACTACTCCTTCGAATCCGCGCGAGAGACGAAACGTGAGATTGTTCTTGTTCAGGGTGACTTGGCAGCTTGTGAGGGAGTCGTAGAGGGAGTTTGGATTGAAGGAGCCTATGCCAGGTTTAAAAACTGGCCCGAGCGACAAGACGGAGGCATGTGAGATGTTCATACGTCAGCTTCTCTTCGATGTCTGGCGCCTCATAGGGGCTGTGTGGGTGGACGCACGGATAGCAGGACAAGAGGCAACCATACTCAACGTAGTCGTGCCAAACTAGATTTACTCATGATTGTGGTGATTATGTATTGTGACAATAGGACTAAACAACACAGCACCCCGTGTCATGTAAGCCTCCAGGTGACAGATTTAGCCCTGAAAATGCTAAAGAACAACAAGAGACTGTATCGACCGATGATTTAGAATTCACGAAGAATCCTTCAACACTGTTGACTGCCATTCCAAATGGTCGGTTACCCCGACCAAGCTCCATCAGGCTGCCCAGACTGCCACCAACGTACTTCAGGATTCATGCCAGGCAAAGGGCTGAAGTCATATCGCATAACCACGCAGGTCCAATCAGCACGCCCGTCTGTTTCGTTCCAGGCCCGGAGCCACAAGAGCACACCGCTGGGCGGATCTCCGCCGCGGCGATCCGACTCTTAGGATCAGCCGCGATGGCACACCCTTTTCATCCATGTGGTCGAATTGTCCTCGCATTGTGGACGGCAGGACTTGCAAGTAGGCCCCACGCAGTACGCCAGGTGGTCCAGCATCCAGGTTTCGACCCAGTACTGCTTCGACCAGCAGAAATCCTGGATGCTGAGTTTTCGAACATCCTTCAGTCCCGTACCGATGCAGCAATTGCGGTTGATGCATTCTCTGTAGCAATCCGGAAGTTCCCAAAGAGGGACTGTGTCGCTGTAGGATTGATCTGACATGGTGCCGCTCGTAGTCGTGTCGTTGGTTGTTGGATTGAAGTAGGCGGTGATGAAGTCATCGCTACCATTAGGAATCGTGAGGTCTTCAGACCGAATAGTGGGAAGCGATTGTGAGCTTGTGAGGGCACTGCCCGCCAAGAAGAGTGTACCGGTGATGGCAGTAGAGAACTGCATTATGTAGTCGTGGTGTTAAGTTGGAGAATAGTATTTGTTACGGTATTACATAATACCTCCACATATTTATGTACATATATAACCCTAGCTTCCCCGTTCTCTTCCGACCTTGCCTCTTCTTCCTTAGATATCGTTGAATCTAGATATTTCAACCCATCAGCCCTGACCAGCACAGCTGCAGGCCTGATTATCACATAGATTTAATGATATCTCCTTTCTTACTATGTTACTGTAGTATATTATACCCCTGGCTCTAAAATAATACGACCTAGACGCCCATGCTATAGATATCCAATGACCAGATTAAAGGCCCTGCTGACTTCATTTCTCAGCTCGAGATCACCTCTACCGAGAAACTCTAAGGCAAGACAGAGAAAGAGAGCCAAAACACTAATACAGGTATAAATATTACCCTACACAAAGAATCTGCTTCTGTCCCAGCACTGTTTGACAGCTATCAATCGCCTATTGGCCTTGATGCGTCACCAGGCCCCACACAGCCATATCACGACCCCCACGTAAACCCACCTACCATCCCTACCATGGGACCACCTCTCGTACTGAAGCGCGCCGCCGGCGCCAGACTGTTCAAAGACTGGCCAGCCTGATCCGGCGATCGCGCCACCTACCAGACACACTACCTCACACTAAGGAGCATCATCTCCAATGAGGAACTCCATGATGCTCTCGGGAACAATCAACACGTATGCAATTCCGTATACCGCAGCATCCTCGAGACACACAGGATCAGAGTTACTGGCTGGATTCAAGACCGCATCGAAGATCCGTCCCTTGCATAGAATATCGAGGATTGGCTTACCGTCTTGGAGACGGCCTTCCTGCCTTGGTATGCCCAGGAACGCGCCTCGTGTTGAATACACAGATGTTGATTGATCTTATTGATTGTTCTGCTCTGCGTGCAGAGATTGATCATCTGTCTTCTTGGTGGGTCAGATGCCCTGTGCGTTTCTGCCCCACTGGAGATCGTCCGGTGTCTATTTCCGGCTCCCATTCAACACCTCGCGCCAGTTGTATACCATTCGCTAAGGACACGCCCAACCGCTGGCGGAGTTTCTGGCAGTCTTTGATGCTCTCTGTTCGCAAGCCCGCAAGCTGGCCCCGACCGGCCCAGCCAAGGTCCACACAGTCACGGAGGCATTTGTCCCCTACCTGTGCAGAGCTCTGGCCAACCAGCTCGAAATCTCCCGCACGGAATACGAGCTGTTCATCGCCAAGGTACAGGCTCTAGCCAATAACCTGGAGGCACTGCCGGAATTCCACTCCTCCAAGGGCGTGCGGAAGGAGTGGTACATTACTGACAAATTCAACCCCAATATCATGGCCCCAACTCAAGGAGGCATACCAAATCAGGCAGACCCTGGAGGCACTCCCGCAGGAACTGTCGACACCAGTGGCAACACGTACATGGGCGGGACGCCAGGCGTTGTCGGGACCTTGAGACTGGCTGTTCAACCTTGAGCACCGCATTGGAGGACGACAAGGACACTGGCGCACGAGGGGTACATGTCCAAAGGCACCACCTATCACGGCTACAGAATATCGCAACCATGAATCTGTTAAACACTGCATCCGCTGCGGCAAGAATCCATCATACAGGTTTGGCGACTGTGACTATACAGGCTTTGTTCGCCACTTTCTGGCTGTCAGTAACAATGACAGCATGTCATCTGGTTCATCAAAAGACTAGCCTCTAAGCGAAGTCGAGCTCAGAGGCTAAATATAGATGTTTTTGGAGAGGATCTGCACCAGTCACTGTCACAGGAGCAGATAGAAACAGCGGAAGAGAGGTTAGACAGCGTTCCATTTCTTATAAATACGCTGATAGACAATATATTCTATACTTCTGCTCTTTTTGACACGGGCTGTTTGTCCTATACCGAATTTAGTGAAAGCTTTATAAACCGAAGACATCTCCCACACAAACAGATCAGCTAGCGGGAGCTTAAGCTCGCTGTAAACAGCGATGACTCCAAGTTCCGCAGGGACAGGCCAAAACCTATTTGCAATATTAACCAGATGGCTTATGATATTATCGACATTAATGGCAGGCAGGAGCGGATCTATGGATATGTCATCCCGAGCCTCCATTACAATATTATCTTTGGCAAGGGATTGTGTGAACGTAATGATGTTCACTACAGAGCCAAGAAGCGCCAGCTACGCATCGTACCACCAAACAATAGAGTAAAAGTCTGTCACAATGCCTGCGGCGTTGTGTTGCAATCTGGTGGATTAACAAAAATAACAAGGTGAGGAAGGAAAGGGAAGCTAGCAAAGTGGTGTGCGCAGCACACATCTTAAGTGGTGGTCCCGTTACTTTCTTATCTAATCTACATGTGACTTGATGACTAAGCATCCATCCATTCAGGTAGATACGGCTGTACACCGTCACAAAGTCTGCGAGAACAGTTGGATAGATAGTCCACATATCGTCGAGAGGACCAAGTCGATTAAGACCACACACCTTGTAACAGCGAGGATCTTCAACGCTAAGATTAAGAGGGCAAAGAGTGACCAAAGCCCCATTTTGATTGGCTCTATTACCATTAAAGATATCAACAAAGCACTAAAGAAACCAAACAAGAGAAAGGACAAGCCTTTGCTCTACTCACTCAAGAACCAACTCTTAGAAGCCCTATGAGACGAGGCCCAGTATTTCATAGACGATGACGACAGCATGGTGCCCCCTCACTATACCGGATGAGATCACGCTATCAATATTGAGATAGACGACTAAGGGCGACCAAAACGGGTGCCTTATGGACCACTTTACGACATATCTAGGGAGGAGCTCCTGGTGTTGCGGAAGACACTACTGACTACCTTGACAAGAGATGGATCAGAACAAGCACGTCATTAACAGGCGCTCTAGTACTTTTTATACGCAAGCCAGACAGCGGTCTGCGTTTTTGTGTCTATTACAGAGCCTTGAATGCCATAACCCAGTCCGATTGGTACCCCTTGCCCTTAATACGAGAAACGCTCCGCCAGCTGACCAAGGCAAAATGGGTTACCAAGGTGGACGTTCGCCCAGCATTTCACAAGCTGAGAATACAAGAAGGAGACGAGTGGAAGACGGCGTTTCAGACAAGGTATGGCCAATTTGAGTGGCTGGTTACCCTTTTTGTTACCCTTTTTGGCCTTTGCGATACCCTCGCAACCTTCTAACATTATATCAACTCTACGTTACAAGACCTGCTTGATGTCTACACATCGGTGGATATAGATAACATTATTATCTATAGCAACAGGACATATAAGGACCACATGGACAAGGTTAAAATCGTTGTCTAAAGGCTAGGTAAGGCAGGCCTCCAAATCGACATTGAGAAATCCGCCTTTACTGTACATAAAATCAAGTACCTCGCATTTGTGATTCGAACAGGCGGCGGCATTAGTGTCAACTCCAAGAAGGTTGCAGCTATCAAGCAGTGGGAAGAACCCAAGGACGCCTCCACCGTCTGCTCATTTCTCAGTTTTGCCAGTTTCTATAGAGAATTTATCTGTCACAAAGCGCAGGTGTGAAGTGAACGTAAAAGTCCTGCTTTTACTATGTACGTGTAATAATCTCTCAGTGAAAAAGGAAAGAAAGATCTGGTCCACCAGCCAATTCTGGCCCACAATTACCCAATCCAGTGGTAGTCGGAGCCACACGTCCATTGCGCAAGGTGTTGAATACGAGGGTCAATTAATTGAGTGTATTGTGATGTTGTGGTTGAGCACTGTCTATCTGTGTACGAGTTTTTAGTACTAGTTTTTGCCCTGGTGGCTGGTCGCAGTCTAGTGCGCTGTCATCCACGTGACATGGTCAGTGCATAGCCCAAATAGTCGGCTGGTATCTGACACCAGGTCACCTGATGCAGCGCACTGACCACTGCAGATGGGATGTCAGACCTGATGGGAGGTCAGACCATCACATTACCCCTTTTTTTCCATTATTGTCGCGCTTCTTAACCGTTTAATTAGACACGGCGCAGCCTTCACCTTGGGACACGACAAGAAGAAAGCATTTTGAACCCTCCAAGACCACCTTACGAGCACCCTGTTACTGATGATGTTTGTCAGATACCAGCGCACCATTTGGGCCATGCACTGACCATGTCACGTGGATGACAGCGCACTAGACTGCGACCAGCCACCAGGGCAAAACTAGTACTGAAAACTTGTACACAGATAGACAGTGCTCATTACAATATCATAATACACTCATTTGACCCTTGTATTTAACAATATGTGACCCTGACCTTGAGACAATCCTGGAGGCAGACGCGTCGGGGTACGCTATTGGCGCTTCCCTATCCCAGATCAATGCAAAGGGACGCCTTTGCCCAATTGAGTTTTTCTCCCGCAAATTAACACCAGTAGAAGCAAACTATGAAATACACGACAAGGAACTGCTCTCTATTGTTGCCGCCATGATCTATTTTAGAGGCCAACTATGCAGTATGGCGACAAAAGTTTTTGTGCTATCAGATTATTAAAACCTCCGTTATTTTATGACAATCCAGAGACTCACGGAACGCCAAGTCCGATAATCAGAGATCCTTTCCCAGTACAACTTCCATTTTATTTTCTGGGCCGGGAAAGACTTAGGGAAGCCCGACTTCCTGTCCCACCGCCCTTAAGACTGTATTAAGGGAGTAGACAACGGACGTCTCAAGAATAAGGAGTTTCAGCTGATCAAGGACGCCTGGCTTCCACCATGCACAGATCATCCCTAGGCTGCTGCTGAAATATATGTTATGATCATAGCACCAGTCAGTACAAGGACCAGACGACAATCGTCCCCAGCAATTCATATTAAAGACAATCCAATTACGTGAGAAGAGCTGAGCGTACTACCACCCGAATGACACGTTTTTATTAACCTTAAGCTCTAACATCTTTGAGATAAGGCTATTAATACTGACAAGACGTATTGCAATATCTATGCTAGTGTTGCAAGAGGGGACAGAGCCTTACCTCCTAGCCTAGGGATT